ATTTTGATTTAAAATTACTTCTTAGAAGATTCAAGATTAGCTCCAGTCATAAACTTCCTGTAGTAGGATACAGAGGGATCTGCAAACTAAACAAATTCGCCAAATCAGTTCTTCCTTCCCACTAGACATTTAGCATATCTGCTTCTTAAAATTATGGCATAACTCTCTCTTGAGCCTCTAGAATGCTAGAACTAAGGAGAAGAAGAAAGAGTAGGGTATTTCCTTTCTCCTGACCAGCAACTATGAAAACTGAGATTACTGAAATACTAAACCATAAGGGTAAACTAGCTATTAAGACACTAAGGACAAAGGAAAACGAACTAGTGTTTTGAGAACTTCATTTTTAATTGCTCTTCAGGATATTTTAAAAAGACTATCCAATGGTATAAAAAAGTGTCTTATGTTGTGCATCCAAAATCTGTATTACTGTCTAGTGATCAAGAAATTGTGTTGTTTACATTAACATAACATTATTCTTAGTACCCACATAATATTCTTACTACATTTCACAAGGACTCTTTAAGAGTTAACAGCACTGCGTAAGACCGCTTCTCTGATCTGCAAACACAGTAAGACCCATTATCTTTGGAATTATGTTAGCTCTAGGGTTAACCACAGGATGAAGAGATGCCATCTCCGCAATGAACCTCATTTTCGTGCAAGGTAAACACACTTCCCCCACGTCGGCTAGTCTCACAGCATTAGTGGTGCGTTGTGATTGATTACAGGCAGAGTGTTGCTGAGATATGGATTTGTATCTCAGCTTTTTATCACTATGACTTGCAAAAGGCAGTTCCTTATTTGCAGACTCTAGCTGTATTAAGTGACATTATTAGGTACTACTTTTAAGTGACACACAGGCTTAGCGTATCAGTGGTTTATGACATGCAAACTGTTTTAATCTGATGACTTACTCCTCACTTTTTCAATTTGTAAATAGGAGCTGCAGCACAATAACATATGGTACTAAAGAAATTAAAGCTAAAGTAAATGACATTAAAACAAATTCAAATAGAACAATAGGATACTCAATCTGAATTATAAACCTGGATCTGCATTAAGACTTTTAAAAACAGGAAATAAAAACCTAAATACGAAAATTAACCTTTCAGCTGTTTTTTTTAAAGACCACTTCAGGGGTTTACTGTGATTGAGTAATTTCCTTCTTAACCCTCACCATTTAAATCTTATAGTTAAATGAATAAATCGGTAAAGACCTATTTTAATAATTGAAACTATATCTGAACACCACATTACTAAAAATTAGTTGATTAACTTTCGGGCTCATACCACATTGTTTCTGATACAGTAAAAACATGTTATGCATTATGCCTAATGCTCATATTCCATACCAAATATCAATAAAAAGGCAATGAAAAGAAAAATTACATTTTCCTAGCTTTGTAATACTATAGCAGCTTACCCAAAAAAGGTATTTCATTATCCTTCTCATGAAAATAGGAAGATTCCCCTCATTATTATTCCACAGATAAGATCCATCCTCTAGCATATGAAGCATCACGTACCATAAAGGATTCAAAGTAAAGACATTCCTAGTGTACTTAAATTATAATTTAAGCATGTGCTTAAGTTATACCAATCAATTCGGTATGTGGGATTAGTTCCATCAGCTTGTAATCCAACAACAACTCCATCAAAGACCGCTTTTTGGTACAGCCTTACACTTAGTGCACTCTGACAAAAATAATTTTTCTCATATGATGTATTACTTCAGCTAAGCATACCAGCAACAGCATTTTTATGCCACTATAATAACTGCCAATGCTATACTGCATTTCTACACAACTGAAATACCCATTCTCAAAAAAATCATAAGTTGAAGAACTTTTTCTATTTTTCATATTTATTATAGCATGGAAGGTTGGTTGATTGGTTGGTTTTTAATCTACAGGTACCTACTTGGTTGTTTGCAGCAATAAAGTATCCCATCTGTGTAATTTTACAGAAAGCAAATTGTAAACAGAGTTCTCCATTTTCCTATCTATCTATATAAGCCATCCAGAGAAGTATATTCAGCAACGAAACAAGATTGGAAGCAGCATGTGATTTCAGCATTCTCTTCCAAATAAGAATCATGTATGATAGTGCTTCTAAGCACAAAAATCCCCAACTTAAAATCTGTAAAATATGCCAACACTAACACTGACGCAGTCAATACAGACTAAGCACAATTCCTACTAGGACGACTATAAGGCTCCTCCTCTTGGGTTGACAAGAAAAGCAGCCTCTCAGAGGTGTTTTCACTCTCAGTTGCGTTAAGTCCGTTGACTGACATTATTCTGACATCGCCAGTAACTGGCTAACTCACAATACCTAACCATTAGTTGGCAAACACCAGCAAAGAATGAAGCAAAGGTTTAAACTACCTAATTTGGTAATATTTCTGGCACCTGACACTTTCTATTTACTGTACTGTAGTAAGTTTGCAAACATGACAGCAACTCGCTATCACTCCCCAAAAAAGGAGGCCAGTTAGTCAAGAAAAGCTGAGCAGTTCACTAAAATAAAACCAAACAATCCTCTGACCTTACACACTTTAGAGTCACTGCATTCAAGTATCACCCAGAGATTTCTCGTTTTAAAAAAAGCAGTTAGGAGCCCAATATAAACAACAAAACTCAGGACAATTCTAGGCTTTGCCCGCTTACGGAGCGCCCGCAATGGTACCTTTCCCTGGCAGCTGGACACCCTGGGCAGTCCTTCTGGACGTTTGGGTTCCTAGCCAAGGCCTTTCCTCAGAGTTTTGACACTTTTTTTTTTTTCCAAAACCTCAACTCAAGTTAATTCTTCTCAAGCAAGTACCAACGAAACAAACAGCCAGTTCTCTGTATATCTGCTGCTGCTATTGGCTTTGAACAAGTTTGTGTTTGAATTAAAAGTGCATAGCACAGTGGGTCACTAAAATAGGGAATCTGATTCGACAATTACCTAAATACAGACACGTATCACTTTTTCCCTCCCCAACAAGAACAATTTACTTAGTGAATAATGCAGTGTAAGTTATGAGCGTAAAGTGCAGATATCTCTGTTGAGAATATACTCTCCTGTAAGGGAAGTGTCTCCTGAACAGATGGGAAGATCTACCTCTTCAACAACCACTGAACACAGGAGGAACACAGATATGCACTAACAAACGAAAGCATTTCCATTTAGATCATTTCTCCCCCTAGATACAAGTTACGATGGAAGAACTAAGAAAGCACGCATGGCACTTTGCTGTTTTCCACACATCAGCCTTTATGAAAAACACACACAGGAAAACAGGAGATGGACTCTGCATTCCTCATCCTCTCATTCTCTTTACATTCTGTATTAAAATTGAAGACAAGAAATCTTACGCCTAGAGCAGAAGTTGTTCGGCTGGATATTCATTCGATTACCTCAGGGTTTCCAGGAAGGCTGATAGCCTGTGAAGTACAAACCTTTCCTGAACTTCCTTTTCAAGAGTCAGATAAGCAAAGAACAAGATGCTCAGAGAAATTCAGCTTGCATCTTCTCGGTTTACACAGAATTCAGGCTCTATTTCAGGTCGTTCTGCACAGGGCAATTTATATTTCCCCTAAATTACTACTCCCATAGGAGCTAGAAAATTTCTTCAGCTTGGTACAAAAGATGAGGATTTCGGGGGGTTTTCAGCTGTTTTTCTTTTCCTTGGTTAAAGAGCAACACAATTTCATTTATGGAAAAACTAAATGCTCTGTCTTCCCCTTCAACACATAGCAGAGAATGAGTTCCTTCTTTCTGTCCACAAGCGACAGAAGTGTAAACAGAAGCTCTGGTGGTAGCGGCACTGGATCAGAAGGGCAGATCAGAGGCAGATGTCCGAAACATCTCGCCTCAGCGCTGGAGTGGAAGAAACAACAAATCCAACCCCTCAGAACAGGGTCTGAATCGCGTCATTGCCTTCTGGTCCTAGGTCTTGACTAAATCCAGACACCCAATCTAGACACCATGTTGACAAGAATTTTGCCGTGGATTTTAGTAAGGACAGACTCCACTTCAGCTGCTTAATACAAATGAAGCAACGGTACCTGAAGGCATGCTGGTGAAGTTGGCTGTCTTTATGGTAGCTAAACTCTTAAAGGATTTACCTATCACAAACTGTAGCTGGCTTCAAGGAGTGTTCCATAAAGTTCTCTATGCACAGGACTTTAGCTACAGGCCAGACAGTAATTCTTCTTACGGCAACTGTGAGGATGAAGTGGATATGAAAAGGCAACAGAGCATCTTTCTTTCAAGATTCAAAACACCTGCACAAAGCCCGATGTCTCCACAAGGTGCTGAGCAGAGGTAATGGTCAAACATGCTTCTGGGAAAACAACATTTTTCTGTGATCATGATTTCTGATTATTTTTCTAACGATACCCTAAAAAGAAGTTGCTGAAAACATCTGGTTGCAAATCTTTCCAAACTTCTGTTAAGTCTGCCTGTACAAGGACAAGTCAGTATTAAGAATATTTTTTTTCCTTTTTATTTCATCTTTTTCACCTGACAAGTTAGGAAAATTACTATCATAATTTTCCAACCATATTCAGAGAATATTGTCATACTGAATTACAGACATACACTCAAATATGATTTTGAAAGCAAAATCCTCAAAGCTATTGCAGTGACAAAATTTTCACTTCTTCTTTACAAAACAGAAACAGTTTTGCCTTAAGACCAACCCCTTGAGACTGCCATCTGTACTGCACTTTATGCACAGAATTTCAGAGTATTCTTCCAGGGAAGAAGACCTAAGCAAAGGGCAAAGCAAAAATATCATCTGCCTACACTTCCTGCAGAGACAAAAGACACTGAGAAAGACGGCTTGCCATAAACAAGCAACATTTTACTGTACATATACAAGAAGAAAGAATAATTTATAAACATCATACTTTATGATTTATGACTATACTCAAATATTGCAAATCCTTTACAGACTACCAGGCCTACTTAAGTAATCATTAATTTACAAAGCAAGAAACTCTAATACTTACATAGCTGTGACTCTTAAGGAAATCTGAAGGGTTGCTTGTGCAGACTTTATCCCCTTCCAAGCCAATTACTCTTTTACAGATATTTGATTTGGGGTCATTTGGGCTTTTCACAATTACAATATCTCCTCTGAGAGGAAAAAAAAGAAACAAAAACAAACAGAAGACCTCTAAGTACACACTACTTGGCTGAATACATGTGCATCAATGTCTATACCCCAAAAATATTCAAATAAAGGTAACTTCCTTCAGCTGAAAATTTTTGTCTACAAGTTTGGTTTCTTCAGCTTCACTCAGGGTGTAATTTTACAAAGATTGTAAAGTAAGTTTGGAGAGATTCTTTGTTATCTAGACTATTTAAAACATTAAAGACTACATTTTAATTGACAATGCTTTGATGAAACGAATGCCACTTAACTTGATCCTGTATATATATATCCTCTCTCTGTATGTATGAAACAGAACAGATTCTGTGTTGCTAGACGTTATTGACCAAATGTTATTCTTCCAGTGGAACTTCAAATGTCTAACCTGAGATTGTAAGACCTTATATTACTTTTGCCTCCTGATTATATACATTAGATTGTACAGTGAAACAGTTCACCACAAAATGGGTGAGGGCCCTGAGCCTACTGTGCTCTACACAACACAGTAATAAAATGACATTTGATAAACAGTACTTAAACCATTTGGTCCCTTTCCTAACAAACTATCTGAGCACAGCAATACCTACAGCTTGGTTTGCAAGTAAGGCAAAACTGCTGAGAGGAGAAGTTACAGTCACACAATAGAATTGTTCTAGGAAAAAAAAAATGGGGGGACTTATTTCCATTATTTGGACAAAGCTGTAAAAGTGACAGGGACTACATCCTAAATGACTTCTGACAAGTTGTTTGATTGGTTGTATGTGCTGATTACTTTAGCTTCCATCAGACACAATGAGAGGAGATCTATGAAAAATTACTATTCAGAAGCAGAAGAACATATGAAAAGTAACGGACAGATAGAAAGTAGTTATTGACAAGCTCTGGCAAACTGAACGTAAAATCTAGTCTCAACAAAGGAGCATACTTTCGAATACAATAAAAGTGGCGGCTAAGGTTCTCCGAAAAGACAATATCAGAATTTTGAATGGTTGGTTCCATGGAAGGTCCAGAACACTGCAAATTAAAAATAAATGAGAAAAAAAATTACTATTTCCAATTACTTTTATCTAAAATACATTAATATTCAAATTATTTGCTAATAAATTAGAAAAGGTGTAATAAAAAGAACAACTAAAAAAGTGAGATCCTCCAGGGAACTCCTGATACAAGTAAAAGGTGAGGACAGGCTCCAGAGCACCCGTAACTCTGCTATGGCTCCGTAATCGCTCAGGATCAGTCCTGAACTGCGTTGGGTGCTCCAAGCCCCTGCAGATTCATTTCAGCGCCTCATCTGCAGGAAATTATTAGGAGCAGCACTTGGAGCTCTGCCACCTTACCCCTTTCTTCAGCCTCCGTAAAAAGAATCACCACTGAAGCTGCAAGAACAGCTCACAACCAAGCCCCACTAGGTCCTGCAGCAGTATCTGCTAGGTTTAGGAGGGGGAGGCAGAGTAGAACAGCCAGAAATTTGCCCAGAGTTGGAAACGAGCATTTCCCATGGCATTCTTGGTAACTCCTCTTTCTGGAAGAACATACTCTCTGCAAAAAGCTTCATCATAGTTTCCCATTTGCTTCAGTCATGCCTCAAACAACAACTTAGCAAAAACCAGGAAAAAAAACCTGAAGTAGAAATAACTTTTATAAAGGCCGGACCTGTGTCCAAAAAATAGGCATTTACTAAACACACTCTGAAAAAGCTTTAAAAAAAAAAAGAAACCTGAAATATTGGCATTATCACATGTAACGATTTTGGTATTATAGTTTTATTTTCTTTTAAATGTCATGAAAAAGAAAGTTACCACAACAATTCCTCCAAGGTACTCAAAGGCACAATGCGCCATGCAGCCATATTGCACAGTATACCCAAGAAATCGAAAGGTTTTTCCTAGGACACTGCGAAGCATGGTATAGTGTTATGCCGTTCAGCTGGTTCTAGTCTATAGCAAAACAGAAGAATATCATTCATTTGTAACAAACAACATTTACAAAACTATCTTTTGTATCTAATAACTGATGGACAACATCTTTTAAAAAAACAGTGAATAAAACAAATAATCAGATATACCCAAGGGGATGAATATAGTTTAAACTCAAATGCCATCAAGAAGTTTTTTAATTATTACACAGACTCTTCCACGTGTACAATCGATGCCTCTCACCAACTTATTAGTGAGATTCAGTTGAGCAGGAGCCGAAACAAAAAACCCACCTTTGCCAAACTAGAGAAATTAATGGGGGAGCATGGTGTCAGCGCTCTCCGCTGACTCAGCAGGGCTTCTTTTACTGGAGACTGCAGGCAGGCAGTTTACACGTCTAAAGATCTGCAATAGTTATGGGAACATCCTCCCCTCCACTAGGCTTGGCTGAGTGGAATCTGGAAAGCTGTAATCATATCTTTAAACACAGGCTTTGACTTCCAGACTAGACCATGTATTGCATCAGATGCAGTTATTTATTAAATAACACTTGACAGAGTCATTTTAATCACATGAAGGCAGTGCAACTTAGATCACTGTTTTTCTTCAAGCACTAGTATTTAAAACGGCACACTCAACAGCAAAACAGAAAAGCATCAAATCATCTGAAGCGATCTGAAGATATTTCACAACTGAAATTACATTCACAGAAAACTGGAGAAACCAAGTAGTTGGCCAAAACTTTAGAAGCAACCTGACAATCAATCAAATGAAAAAAGGCTTGAAGAACTAGACAAAATGAAGGATAATAGAGTCCTGAATGGCTTGCCTAAGACTATACTAGAAAAAGAACATAGTTGTTGATACGAATTCTGGAGGTTTTGCAGAGCTTTCCTTTGTCTAGACTTGCACTACCAAAGCACTTGCATATAAAAGTAAGGCATTACATCTTTCTGTTCTCAGCTACAGTACAGTGGCATAAGTTTTGCAGCACTTAAGACCGTAAATGTCTTCTGACCCCCTCCTCCAAATACTTCAGTCAAACTCTGATGACTGGATGTAATTCCTGCAATGCCAATCTAACTAAAAGGTTTCTTTACCCCTCTTTTGAAGAATATTTCTATTTAAGGAAGTGGAAAACATACATACTGAAGTTAACTGAAGCAAATTTTACATTCTGCAAGAAACCTGTCCCCCTTAAACTCACTATCAGCTTTATCATGACTTAAAACCACAGCAAAATTTCCCTCATTTACTAAGATGGGTCAATATAGCTTGATAACAAATACAGTAAATTAAAAAGAATAAAAAAGAAAAATGCTGCTTGTACAATATGCCCTATTTAATAACGAAGTAAAGACCTCCCCTTCTATATTTCACGATGTTTTGCTATTTAAATGCAGGAATTTAAAAGTGCATAGCTTTACTTACACAACTCTTTCTAGAAGTTAATCAGAATTTTGCCTGAATACAGTCAAAAGTCGCTTTTGTTCTTTGCACTTAGTATTTAATTATAAAGAAAAAAAGATGACCATTCTTGGGGGGAAATGTTCTCTACCAAGCTCATTTCCTTGTTCCAAAAAAGACCTACTTTAAAAAAAAAAAAAAACCACAAAAAGCAGTCTTCAGAATAAATCCACTTCAAAGAATCTGTGATTCATCATCCTCCATATTATCTGATGAGTTTCATGGTAATGAACCAAAATACAACAGAACCCAGAAAAGTCTCAAGTTGTTTCACTAGCAAGTGAAGCTCCAGCACACCACACGACACCTGGTACAAACTGGAACAACCTCACAGCAAGCAAAATGCACTTCCAGCTGAATTTATTCTGGAGAGCTAGAAACGTGGTTTGCTCTTCTCTGCCCAGTATGCTCTGAAAAGCATCGACCTACACCTTGCTCTCAGGGCCAGAAACATGTTACAGGTGGTACCAGGAAGCTGGAGTGACAGCAGACCAATGAGAGTTGCACAGCTCATGTGAATTACTGGCTATAGCTATCTTTTGAGAGAAGTACAACATCAGTACTTCTTAACAGCGTCGCTAGAAGGGCAGCCCCACATCACTTCTGTCGAGGCAGATAAGTACTGCACAACCACCCCGTATTTCAGATCCATGCTACTCAGAAACGTTATATATTAAGACAGTATAGAATTCAGGCACCTGTGGATCTTACAGGTAAAAAGGAATTGTATAAACATTGTGTTATGTTGACTGGAGTAGGTAGATATTGTTGATTGTGCCAAACAGAACGGTAACAACAGACTCATTAAGAGAAAATGTAAACCTCTCATGTCCACAGCTACCAGGCTATAACTAACAATTTTTTATTATGAAATTACAAACAACTGCTATATGTCTCTAAAAATAAGTTTCAAGCTGATTGCAGCTGATTTCCTGTTGGACTCTGGATGACACATACTTGTTACACTGAAAACATTTCATTTCTCTGACGTCTCTGAGTAACTCTGAATTGGGAGGTATAGATTTGCAAATTAATCAAGGAAACACAGGGCTCAGAGTGAGCTTTACCTACTTCTAGAGCTGTCATGGTGTAAAACTAGCCACAAGGATAGAACATGAGTGAAGAGGTCTCAGATTTTATTCTCAGGTCTCTTAAAATAACTTCTTAACCCCCAACACATGGATTTCACCAGTCCCAGTTTATAAATGTCGCACAACAGATTTCTTTTTATATGCTCAGGCTTATCAAATGTTCACGATACTGATGAAAAATTCTTAGTTCTTACATAAAGCTTTTTATTACTACTCAAGAAAGTTAATTTCAAATTCAGGCGCGCATATATATATATATATATACACACACACATATATAAATACACACACATTCCCCTAGGTTTTACACAGTTTGAACCTAACAAGATAACTTCAGAGGACTGGAGTGGTTGTTTTTAACATTAAGGTCAACCTTTAGATATCTAATGTTCATTCCACAGAATAGCTGCATTCCTGAAAGTTTCCATGTAGTTTTAAGCAGAAACTTCTAGTTAACAAGTGAACGGTTGTAGTAAGAGTAAACCCAGTCAAAAAAAAAAACAAACAACTCTCTAGTTTATTAAAAAAGCTCCACAGAATATTTATCTTACAATTGCTCTAGCTTAAGCACCAGTAAAATATAATTCTGTTTACTCAGAAAACTATTTATTGGTACATTTTTAAAACAATGTCACATTGTTGATCACAAGAAGGTAAATGGCTGAATGTTTTCCCACATCACACAATTAATTTTAACACAAAGTGCTGTCAGCAGCCAACTCCACCAGATACAGCATAAGACCATCAAGCACAATAAAAACAAATTATTTAAGACACAGGCCTCTTGAAAACTTAATAGATCTGTTCTATAAACATCCTTATTGCAGAACTCACGGCATAAAACCTGTCATAATTACTTCCAGGTACTACCCACTATCATATAGTAGGTAGCTAAAAATTTTATATTGAAATAGACATTGTATTTATAGCAAACATGGACATTGATTAAGAAATGTTACACGTCCATATGTATCACATAGAAAACAATTTATTTATTTTACAAGAGCTGTATAGTTTATCCCCTGCAGCAAATAAAATGCAAAATGTAATTATTATTATCTTCTGTTCCCTTCTCCTTACGTAGCCTATGCCTTCATCATTTGATTTTTTGTTTGTTTGTTTGTTTGTTTATAAAATTAATCAGAGCTAGCAGGGTGGAAATCACTTTGAGCCTCATGAATGACATCCAAGAGATGGGAAGGGATTAGTTCTCAGTTGCTGCCAGTTATAGCGCCAGGTGGCTTTTTCTGCAGTGAAGGTGTTACCAATAATCCCATTACACTGGTACTAAATCTTGCAGACATCAAAATTATCACCAAGGTTCCTTTTCATCCCATCCTTTCCAAATGACTGGAAGTCGCTTCACCTGAAAGAAGTCAAATCCACATGCAGCTGCTGTTTTAGCAGCCAGCAGACTCCCTGAGAATGCCAATCGCGATCCAATTTCGCTGTGCTGGTGGCCCCCTATTCCCTGTCCAATAATACATCTGTTAAAAAATCCTACAGCTACAAATCAAGTTTAATCCTACCAGGGACCTCATGTTGGTCTTGTCTTCCAAAAAGGCAGCAGGTTTTGCTGTCTATCTCTGCTAGTGTCTGGGGAATACTCTTTAAATCCCAGCCCTACTTAGAAGAATAAGCTAAGGATCACAAAACATGACCTCAAAAACCCTGATATGACTATATTCTGACCCAGAGGCATTCATTCTAGGTGAAGATTAGAACTTTGCATAATAAGATTACACAGCAAGTGAATGATATCAAGGGACTATCCATATGCAGCCGCCTGGTTTTCTATAGACAGCCTGTGCTCTGCAATATGCAGTGCAGACGAAACAGAGCTTGGTCTTTCTAGCTGAAATAAAATAGATTCACATAAATTAGTTGGCCATTTCCAGATTCCTAAATCCCCTATTACATCTTTTATTGACAGCTCCTGTGAGGATAGCACAAATAGTATTCTCTTTGTATCTTTGCTTCTGCAACAATCACACTCTGAGGGAAATGTACATAGGTTGTCTAGAAATTAACATCTTGTTTGCTGTAATCTTGGATTACAATTAACTTGTACATAATAAAATTAGGAAATCAATGAGCAGATTTATCATTTCCAGATAACCAATGGCATTGTGTAAGACAGTCTAACAAATGGTGCCAAAGTCTTAAATACAGGAAAATCAAAGTCACAGCAAACGAAAGTGTGGCTAAACAAATTACTGGACTTGATATTAAATAGATTTTTCAACATAATAAAGAATTTCTAGACACATTTGCTTTATAGAATGCTTCCTAATTCTGAATTTTCACTGAATACCTAGTGATAGCTTATCAGTTTTTCCTTAGGTAACAGCAACTCCTAACATTCTCTGCTTCTAACCAGACACCCTTCCTCACACAAGGTAATTCCGTAACTTGCACCATCTCTTTCCCAAAGAGATACTCTGAGATTATTACTTTAAAAAAAGA